AAATGGCAAAATTAATAATGATACTCTGCTGAAGACGGGGTGGAGCATTCATTGAAATGGACTAGAAATATACTAGAAATAATGATGCAAATGGAAGTGACCAAAGCCTCCAGTAGAAACTCAATGCTGGGAAGAATAACAAGACGAATTTATAACCAGACTACAATTGGCAAAATTAGTTATGATACTCTGCTGAAGACGGGGTGGAGCATTTATTGGAATGCTCTGAGTGTTGTGACATCACTGTTTTACTTGTTTACAAATTCAAATTAGTCATGAGTTTTAAACTTACAAAGTTCACTGTGAACTTCAACCTACTTTCACTATGTGTTATTTGTAACGAATAAGATTAGATAAGATATACAATCAGACAATAAACTTTTGCCTGGGCATTTAGGCTTTGCAGCAGACCAGCCTTTGTAAACTTGTTTGTAAACAGAAGCGGGGACATCCAATAAAAACCTTATGATGCACATTGATGGGTAAAGTCATTTTCTGGCACTTTCATGCCGACCCTCCTTGATCTCTTATTAAACAATGTTGCTATTATTTGTTTTCCCTATAGACTAGGTACTCGCGAGGCACAGATCACATGGTCATGTGTCCTGAATAGGGGAAAACTGGCATTTTGGTGGGGGGGGGGGGGGGGGGGAGAATCAAGGGTTCTGAGCTCCTTAAAGCTTAACTGTTTGTGGAAACTATAACATTTCTACATCCCAGAGTACACCTGGATACTTCTCAACTGTGTGTGGAGTTACTTCATCTTCGTACATGTATATATGTATGTATGTGTGTGTGCGTGTGTGTGCTCTTGTGCGGGTGTGTGTACGTGTGTAAAAATGACTTAGTGAAGCACTTTTAGCAATTTGTTGCAGTCAAGGCAGTAAATATGAATGAAAGGCAGGCGTGATTGTGCATAACATTCAAGATATAGAACTGCAAAACAGACACAGAAATGAGAAACAAATGGACAGAGGAAGCTAGGACACCTAAGAGAAACCATATGATGAATATTGACTAGAGAAGCCAGATATACCAGGCTGGAATTCATACCTGATATTAGAGGATTACATTTGATGAAATGGAATGGAGGATTTATCTGCACCCTGTAGGACAAAGAAATGGCAAAACAGGATACTGACAATAATGAGTATCACATTCTAATAATTTCTTTGTTTTTTTTCTAATTTCAGGATGTGCTGGAACTGAGTCAGATCAGCAAGCAGACTAATTTTGCTCCTGTGTTCTTTGTAAGGGTCCCTCCCCCAGGTGCAAGAACTGTAGATACAGACCCACCTGATGGAGAGCCAAGAGGGATTCAAACTAATTCATCACCCAACCACAGCTTTCAAGCAGATTCTGTGGATGATACAACATTGGTGCAGCACAGTGCGGGCACCAGGACTTCTGTACTTCCTGTACCTGGAGCTGACACTGAAGGTGCAACAGCAGAACATACTAGTCATGTTTATGAAAATTTGCAAAGACTGGGGTACTTAGACTGTGATCCCGAAATGAAAAAGTTTGATGGTTTCTTCAGTGTAGACAGCTGTTTTATAGAAAACTTCACAGACTTTGGACATAGGTTTGCCACTTTCACTGGGAAAATGTTGCAACGTTATTTAGCTAATTCTTCCACTTTGCTGAACAACTCGCACACTTGTTGCATGAACATGTTCATCTTGTCAGCCTTTGACATGGCCAGGGATATGCTGATCACACCCAAGAAGTTGGAGTTTGTCAGGCAGCAGGAGCAGGAACTCTACAGGGCATTGCTGAAAATTTCTGTTTCGAAGCTAGATGAAGTCAAGGAGATTATAACCAACACCATATCGATCATACGTACGTGTCTCATAGCTGTCTGGAACTAGTCTAAGTCCAGAACTAAAACCAGATGAATGGTGGGCAGGTTATATCTGCAGCATTGAATTTCAAGGGAGAAATGAGCAGCAAAGGAAGAAAGCAGCTATTGAAAAGTATCTAAAACAGTAGGCTTTCTTGGTGAGTCACTTTATATGAGACGGCTGTAGAGAAATAATGCTGGAAAGAAAATGCAATTGAACTAAACTACTTCACAGTGACATATATGAACATAATGGTTTAGACTTGCATATATGAACATCATGGTTTAGACCTGGCATATATAAACATCATGGTTTAGACCTGGCATATATAAACATCATGGTTTAGACCTGGCATATATGAACATCATGGTTTAGACATGACATATATGAACATCATCGTCTAGACTTGGCATATATGAACATCATGGTCTAGACTTGGCATATATGAACATCATGGTTTAGACTTGACATATATGAACATCATGGTTTAGACCTGGCATATATAAACATCATGGTTTAGACATGGCATATATGAACATCATGGTTTAGACTTGACATATATGAACATCATGGTTTAGACTTGGCATACATGACCATCATGGTTTAGACTTGACATATATGAACATCATGGTTTAGACTTGGCATATATGAACATCATGGTTTAGACCTGTCATATATGAACATCGTGGTTTAGACTTGGCATATATGAACATCATGGTTTAGACCTGACATATATGAACATCATGATTTAGACCTGGCATATATGAACATCATGGTTTAGACTTGGCATATATGAACATCATGGTTTAGACTTGACATATATGAACATCATGGTTTAGACTTGACATATATGAACATCATGGTCTAGACTTGACATATATGAACATCATGGTTGAGACTTGACATATATGAACATCATGGTTTAGACTTGGCATATATGAACATCATGGTCTAGACTTGACATATATGAACATCATGGTCTAGACTTGACATATATGAACATCATGGTCTAGACTTGACATATATGAACATCATGGTTGAGACTTGACATATATGAACATCATGGTTTAGACTTGACATGTATGAACATCATGGTTGAGACTTGACATATATGAACATCATGATTTAGGCCTGGCATATATGAACATCATGGTTTAGACTTGACATATATGAACATCATGGTTTAGACTTGGCATATATGAACATCATGGTCTAGACTTGGCATATATGAACATCATGGTCTAGACTTGACATATATGAACATCATGGTTTAGACTTGACATAAATGAACATCATGGTTGAGACTTGACATATATGAACATCATGGTTTAGGCTTGGCATATCTGAACATCATGGTTTAGACTTGGCATATATAAACATCATGGTTGAGACTTGACATATCTGAACATCATGGTTTAGACTTGGCATATCTGAACATCATGGTTTAGACTTGACATGTATGAACATCATGGTTGAGACTTGACATATATGAACATCATGGCTTGGCATATTTAGACTCATGGGCATATAGACTGCATATCAACATCATGGTTTAGACTTGACATGTATGAACATCATGGTTTAGACTTGACATATATGAACATCGTGGTTTAGACTTGACTTATATAAACATCATGGTTTAGATTTGTACAGGGCTGAAGAAAATGTTGTATTGAAACCTCAGTGAGTGTTTATTTATTTACACATTTGTTTTTTTAAATGTTTTTTTGTGTGGTAAATTTGAGTTTATGAAATATCCAGTAATTTAATTATGAATTTAAATGTCTAGGGCCAATTTTTGTTGCTGATGAAGAATGGATAGAGAAATCAACAAAAGATGTGCAAAAGCAAATCAGATACTGGGACAGCTAAAACCACTTTTGACACATAAAGAGATGCTTATGTTTACCAAAGCAAATCTCACAAGAATTATTATGGATAGACCATTATGTTATCAGTAACAAACATAGATCTCAATTACAACTAATGACGTGTATTTCTTAACTTCTATTCCACTCATAAAACCAGGTGCAAGATAAATTAAACATACTTGATAAGAGACCACAGTCTGGTCAGAAATCCACACAGGAAAAACAAAGATAATGTGAATAAATCAGGCAAAATGTTGTAACAATGCTCCAGTTTCCTTTTGTGAAACTTCACATCTAGATGTGAATTCATACACTTATTTAGGCATTAGTGTTTATAAAATGGAGGACGGAAGTCAGAGAAAATCAGAACTTGCACGGAACTTAAAATATTTATCTCTGAAGTTGAATCAGAACTCTTGTAAAACTGTTAATAAAAAACTACAACTATTCTTTAACTGGTACCTGCACAGAATAGAAGGAATTAACTGATAAGTAGAGCTTTGGGAGAGAACTAGACATATTTTAGTGAATCACAAGGTGAGAAAAAAACATTAACATTGGATAGGGCACATATTGAAAAAAAAAACACCTGACAATGTAACTAGAATTTCCTTGCACTGGAACCCACAGGGTAGAAGAAATAAAGGCAGACAATAAAAATACACAGAGAAAGATATGGGTGAGCGGCGTGCAAAGGATAGGATGACTTGTCCAGAGTTGGTTGTGGTCCTATGCTCAATTGGTGAATAAAGGGCGGAAAAAGAAGAATGTCTTGCTACATCTGTGATCATGGTTTGATAACTGACAGCGTTCATTCATTGAGGAATGTGTTATATTTGTTTCTTATTTTATACTGTGGTTACAATTATAGCTTACTGCTATTATTTTCTGCCTACATGTATTGTTACAGGGAGTCGTCATGGCAGAGTGGCTAGACGCTCACAGCAGACCAGAAGGTCGTGGGTTCGCTCCCTGGCGGAGCAGGACTTTTTAAAAATTACCTTGGTACAGGGTGCAGTCGCGGAAAATATAGGCGGCCGGCGTGATGCTGACCACATAACCCATCCTGTGCTGATTGGTCTATAAAATATAGGTCTAGCCCTATGTGCTCTATACGCCTAACAGCGTGGAAAAGGGTCCTTTACTTTACTATTTATTGTTATATACTTACACATAATTGTTTTATACTTGAAGATAGTTTTGTCTGATTACGTATATTGATCTGCGTTTACACATATTGTTTTGTACTTACAGGTATTGAAATAAATCAAAATGGAGTCCCAAGGACAGTGAAAGAACTTAAACTGTGTGAAGAGCAGATCAGAGAGTTGATTTTAGGCAGACTCAACCACGTGATTGCAGGCAAACTAGTCAGCTCTGTAAATATTCTTCGAGACTCCTATACTGGTTAGTTGCCATCTTGCAGGCATATTTGGATTAGATTTAATCTATATATGGGTCTCTTAAATACTGCATAGCCACCATCAGAACCATTACTGTTGACCAGGACAGTGTGTTAATGCTGGTTTGACCTTTTTTTTTTCAAATATGGATTTGTAAAAGATGGCGGTACTAGATTAGCAGCATCTGCAGGCTAAAGGTTTAAGTCCTGTGAAGAAAACATTACCAGCCCAGCCCTAATCCAGGTTAGTGAGTATTTGCTATCTGAGTCTTGACCTAGTTTTACCGCCTAATATGCTGTTTCATTGAGGAGAAGTTCCGCTACCATTCTTGCACATCCCTGCTCTTTTCAAATTTTGGAGAGGGGAAGAAGTTCTGTCATGCACAATCATCTTGGAGTAGACACTTTGGTACCAGGTCAGAAGAGAAGTCTCTGCACAAACCTTTCTGTGATAAGAGTGTAGCCCCTTTCAAGTGTGGATGACGTGAATGTCAATGTCATCAGATTGGACATTGAAACTCAAATCTTTTAAAGAATTCACAACCATTGATTTATTCCAAAGGAACACTGACCAGATGTCTGGAGAGCCTGGAAACCATGAACAGAGACAGTCCCGATGGAGAGACAACAACAGATGCTCTCAGGCAGGTCAGTATTGATTAACACTGATAAAGAGTTCCACATCATCATCATCCCTGTTAATCCACAATCTCAGATGTAGTGTTAACACGATCACACATCAACATTCAGTGCCCTCTGTTCACACCCAGTAAGTGAAAGAAAAAGAACACTGCCGCTTATCTGCTCTTTAATATTCTCAGTTCAGGATTTTCTTGGTTTTTTCTTACTTTTGTTCCTGTCAGCTTTCCCATGAAAGAAGGTTATGATGGGTGACAAGCAAAGCCAGGCAAGCATTTGGCTGTTTTGGTGCTAAAAAAGTGATCTTGTTGGCCTGAATGTACATATATATTTCTCAGATGAAAATATGTCCTCTGTGGTCTTTAAAGATTCTCTAATTAATAATATTTGTAATTAAAAGTTCAGATCATTATTTGCATGTGCACATAAAAAAAAAATCTAGCTCTCACATCCGTGCAGTAATGCTGATGAGGCTGGGAGTGATATAATTAGATCTTCATGTGAAGGTTGATGTTACAGATGAGGGGAGTGAACATCACATCCTAGATTGTTCCACAAGAAGAGTGAAATATCTCATAAATGATTGTTCCATCATAAGAATCATATGTCACATCCTAGATTGTTCTGCAAGAAGAGTGAAACATCTCATAAATGATTGTTCTATCATAAGAATCAAATGTCACATCCTAGATTGTTCTGCAAGAAGAGTGAAACATCTCATAAATGATTGTTCTATCATAAGAATCATATGCCACATCCTAGATTGTTCTGCAAGAAGAGTGAAACATTTGATAAATGATTGTTCTATCATAAGAATCATATGTCACATCCTAGATTGTTCCATCAGAGGACTGAACTATCATACTAAATTGTTCCATTACAAAACTTTCATGAAATTAATAAGCAATTACTTAAATGAAATGTTCTGTGCCTACATAGTTTTTTTCCAATACAGTTGTGGGAGAAATTTTATGTTGTTTGGATAAGTCTGAAACTAATTATTTACAACTTTATTGGATTTAGATATAGTGGGTTTTCCTTTTTAAATGTTTTGAAATTAAAAAATTTTTTTTTGTAAATTTAAAAGTGGAGAAAGGAGTTGGAAGAGTGGAGAATATTAATATATGAATAAGAATTAGTTTCATTGATTTGTGAGCATACAGTCATTTCTGTTTCTTAGTAGTTTGTAATATTGGGTACATCCCTTTAATTAAAAATAACAACAGTTTGAACCTTAACCCTACCAGATCTGAGGCCCTGAACCTAACTGTCCCTATAACCTGAGATCCTGGGCAGTAACACGAAAAAACCAACATGATGTACAAAAAAATGTGTTACATGCAAACAAGTGGTTAGAATAGGAAAAAACTTGGAGACATTGTAGAAAATAGGTTTACCTTTCATCTAGCGCCAATCTTCCACCTTTATGTGCCATTCCACCTAGTAGGATCAGTCTTGTTTCACAAAGTAAGCACCAGATGTTGCTGTTTGAGGGACACGCCCCCTTCTTTTACTATCAATCTAGTTTTAAATCTATAATTTTTATAATTCTCTCTCCTCACTCTAGCTCTCACTGACTGTGTCACTTCAACTGGGAACATATTCTTCATGAACGTATTCACAGTTCGAATTAACCAAAGTATCGATCACCTATTGGACTGTGAAAAGCCTAGACCTATGTCATTTTCTTGTCGAAGCCGCTCGTTTCATTGAGAATTTTCTGAATTTTTTTAACATCAAACCACACAGAGAAATCTCAACACACGTGGGAAGTCATTCGCAATGACTAACAACCAAGTCTGATGGCGATTGGCTGGTTATTTTTAGTATGTGACTCATATTTTTCACTTACTACATAAATTCCCGGAAAAGTGGGCCTGCGGTATAGCGGCTGGTTAGGAAATTCCCGGAAAACCGGGCCAGCGGTCTGGTAGGGTTAAGGTGTTGAAATTATCATGTCACACCATTGTTGCAGCTCTCTGCAACTCTGTCTGAGTGAGTGTCCCTATGTGATGTAGGCATTATGGTAACAATATAATTAGTAAGTAAAATGTACTTTATATTTCCTTTTCCCACTCTGTTGTATATTTTGTTTGTTTTATTTCATCAGATTCTGAATGCAGCATATACAGTAGACATAACTGTCAGATCAAGCTCATCGTTTATTAAAAGCATTCTGGAGAAGATGAAGCAGGTATGTATTTTAACCTTGTGGCCCTGGGTCATGCCTTGTGTGAATTCCCTAAATAAATCCTTAAAAAATTAATTATGCAGTTGACTAATACATTAAAAAAAAAAAAATCTTTTTTTCAACATTTTAAAATGTTTGTTAAATATATAAAGATATGTACACCACTGAGTAATAAAAAAAAAGAACAGAGTAAGTTGTTAAATGGGATACATTTCTGGGGTCTAAAACAATATATTTTGGGTCACTCATGCCATGACCCTATGACTGCTATCACTGAGGTTTATGGGAAAAGTTCGGTGCCAACTGTTCAAGGGAAAACACACCTGAACACTATTTTTTAGCTAAAATGCTCATATCCTGACCTCTTAAATATTTGTGCAGGCTCAGTCTCAGCCAATAGCATTAAATGTGTATCTTGTAAACATGTCACTTTAGAAAAATTGACAAGTAAAATTACTAGAAAATGAAACCCAACTGTCTCATCATCATCATCGTCATCCCCTAACACTGTGTGCCGTTGAACTCTTGACTCTCTGATCAGCTGTCTCCACTATTGACGGCCAGATGTGATGGACTTCATGGTTGCATGCCTAAAACTTCATGGTTGCATGCCTAAGGGCTGTCACATTCTCTATCTAGGTATTTTTTTTTTGTTTCTTCTCTTTCCCCTCTACTGAGCCCTGTAGTATTGTTTTTGAAAGGCCGCTAGATCTTATTACATGTCTATGCCATTGCATTTTTTTTTTAACCTTTTCACTGTAGTTAAAAGAGATTCATAGTTGCCAAGTTTTGAGGATGGCTAGCTGTCCTAGGAGTATGAGAATTGGGAATTAGTACCCTCCTTCTGCCCATAATTGCACAAGCAAGCCCCATCTCCCTGTGGTGCATTCTTGAAACTACACTATCCATGACGATTTTACTGGGGAAAATGGCCACCATGGGAGGAGTGTGTCCTGCCAGGGTTGGCAAACTGCCCAAGATGCACTATGTTGACTGATGATGATGATCTGCGGGCCTTAAAGTTGCTTTAAAATAAAGATGGTTGCCTTCTGGCAATTTGCTTTCAGATAATGATGATAACCTGATGGCCTCAAATTTGCTTGAATATAATAATGATTACCTGCTGGCCTTAAATAGTACTGTCTGTGTCAACAGCTTGTTTATTCTCTTCCCTGGAGGAGTTCCCCAACTATTGACAGTGACTGGAAAAGGAAGGTTGCTACAGATATGTTGAATAGCCTTAGTGAGTCCAGGTATGTAGTGTCACTTATTGATTTATCCAAGCATATACTAACTTAGTGAGTCCAGGTATGTAGTGTCACTTATTGATTTATCCAAGCATATATACTAACTGTAGTGATTGATTTATCCAGCATATACTAACTTAGTGATCCAGGTATGTAGTGTCACATATTGATTTATCCAAGCATATACTAACTTAGTGAGTCCAGGTATGTAGTGTCACATATTGATTTATCCAAGCATATACTAACTTAGTGAGTCCAGGTATGTAGTGTCACATATTGATTTATCCAAGCATATACTAACTTAGTGAGTCCAGGTATGTAGTGTCACTTATTGATTTATCCAAGCATATACTAACTTAGTGAGTCCAGGTATGTAGTGTCACATATTGATTTATCCAAGCATATACTAACTTAGTGAGTCCAGGTATGTAGTGTCACTTATTGATTTATCCAAGCATATACTAACTTAGTGAGTCCAGGTATGTAGTGTCACTTATTGATTTATCCAAGCATATACTAACTTAGTGAGTCCAGGTATGTAGTGTCACTTATTGATTTATATCCAAGCATATACTAACTTAGTGAGTCCAGGTAGAGCCACATATTGATTTATGTCACTTAGTAGTCAGGTATGTGCCACATTTGATTTCCAAGCATATACTAACTTAGTGAGTCCAGGTATGTAGTGTCACTTATTGATTTATCCAAGCATATACTAACTTAGTGAGTCCAGGTATGTAGTGTCACTTATTGATTTATCCAAGCATATACTAACTTAGTGAGTCCAGGTATGTAGTGTCACATATTGATTTATCCAAGCATATACTAACTGAGTGAGTCCAGGTATGTAGAGCCACATATTGATTTATCCAAGCATATACTAACTTAGTGAGTCCAGGTATGTAGTGTCACATATTGATTTATCCAAGCATATATCCAAGCATATACTAACTTAGTGAGATCCAGGTATGTAGTGTCACTTATTGATTTATCCAAGCATATACTAACTTAGTGAGTCCAGGTATGTAGTGTCACTTATTGATTTATCCAAGCATACTACTAACTTAGTGAGTCCAGGTATGTAGTGTCACATATTGATTTATCCAAGCATATACTAACTTAGTGAGTCCAGGTATGTATTGATTTGTCACATATACTATGAGTGATTTATTATCCAAGCATATACTAACTTAGTGAGTCCAGGTATGTAGTGTCACTTGTGTTTTATCCAAGCATATACTAACTTAGTGAGTCCAGGTATGTAGTGTCACTTATTGATTTATCCAAGCATATACTAACTTAGTGAGTCCAGCATATACTAACTTAGTGAGTCCAGGTATGTAGTGTCACTTATTGATTTATCCAAGCATATACTAACTTAGTGAGTCCAGGTATGTAGTGTCACTTATTGATTTATCCAAGCATATACTAACTTAGTGAGTCCAGGTATGTAGTGTCACTTATTGTTTTATCCAAGCATATACTAACTTAGTGAGTCCAGGTATGTAGTGTCACTTATTGATTTATCCAAGCATATACTAACTTAGTGAGTCCAGGTATGTAGTGTCACTTATTGATTTATCCAAGCATATACTAACTTAGTGAGTCCAGGTATGTAGTGTCATATATTGATTTATCCAAGCATATACTAACTTAGTGAGTCCAGGTATGTAGTGTCATATATTGATTTATCCAAGCATATACTAACTTAGTGAGTCCAGGTATGTAGTGTCACTTATTGATTTATCCAAGCATATACTAACTTAGTGAGTCCATGTAGTGTACTTATTGATTTATCCAAGTAGTGTGTAGTGTCATATATTGATTTATCCAAGCATTATAACTTAGTGAGTCCAGGTATGTAGTGTCATATATTGATTTATCCAAGCATATACTAACTTAGTGAGTCCAGGTATGTAGTGTCATATATTGATTTTATCCAAGCATATACTAACTTAGTTCCAGTATGAGTGAGTCCAGGTTGTCACTTATTGTTTTATCCAAGCTATACTAACTTTATCCAAGCATATACTACTAACTTAGTGAGTCCAGGTATGTAGTGTCACTTATTGTTTTATCCAAGCATATACTAACTTAGTGAGTCCAGGTATGTAGTGTCATATATTGATTTATCCAAGCATATACTAACTTAGTGAGTCCAGGTATGTAGTGTAACTTATTGATTTATTCAAGCATATACTAACTTAGAGAGTCCAGGTATGTAGTGTCACTTTGTGTTTTATCCAAGCATATACTAACTTAGAGAGTCCAGGTATGTAGTGTCACTTATTGTTTTATCCAAGCATATACTAACTTAGTGAGTCCAGGTATGTAGTGTCACTTATTGATTTATCCAAGCATATACTAACTTAGTGAGTCCAGGTATGTAGTGTCACTTATTGTTTTATCCAAGCATATACTAACTTAGTGAGTCCAGGTATGTAGTGTCACTTATTGATTTATCCAAGCATATACTAACTTAGTGAGTCCAGGTATGTAGTGTCATATATTGATTTATCCAAGCATATACTAACACTCACATTGATGTATTTATCCATGTAGCATATTGATTTATCCAAGCATATACTAACTTAGTGAGTCCAGGTATGTAGTGTCACACTTATTGATTTATCCAAGCATATACTAACTTAGTGAGTCCAGGTATGTAGCTTAGGTATGTAGTGTCACTTATTGATTTATCCAAGCATATACTAACTTAGTGAGTCCAGGTATGTAGTGTGATTTATGCATATACTAACTCCAGGTATGTAGTGTCACATATATTGATTTATTATCCAAGCAGGTATGTAGTGTCACTAACTTAGTGAGTGAGTGAGTCCAGGTATGTAGTGTCACATATTGATTTATCCAAGCATATACTAACTTAGTGAGTCCAGGTATGTAGTGTCACTTATTGATTTATCCAAGCATATACTAACTTAGTGAGTCCAGGTATGTAGTGTCATATATTGATTTATCCAAGCATATACTAACTTAGTGAGTCCAGGTATGTAGTGTCACATATTGATTTATCCAGTGAGTCCAGGTACTAACACATATTGATTTATCCAAGGTATACTAGTAGTGAGTCCAGGTATGTAGTGTCACATATATTGATTTATCCAAGCATATACTAACTTAGTGAGTCCAGTATGTAGTGTCCTATATTGATTTATCCAAGCACTAACTTATTGATTTATCCAATTGCATCCAAGCATATACTAACTTAGTGAGTCCAGGTATGTAGTGTCACTTATTGTCCAAGCAGTATGTAGTGTCCACATATTGATTTATCCAAGCATATACTAACTTAGTGAGTCCAGGTATGTAGTGTCACTTATTGATTTATTTATCCAAGTGAGTCCATACTAACTTAGTATTGATTTATCAAGCAGGTATAGTAGTGTCAGGTATGTATTGTCATATATTGATTTATCCAAGCATATACTAACTAGTGAGTCCAGGTATGTGATTGATTTATCCAGGTATGTACTTAGTGAGTCCAGGTATGTAGTGTCACTTTATTGATTTATCCAAGCATATACTAACTTAGTGAGTCCAGGTATGTAGTGTGTATTGTCCAAGTCTTAGTGAGTCCAGGTATGTAGTGTCATATATTGATTTATCCAAGCATATACTAACTTAGTGAGTCCAGGTATGTAGTGTCACTTATTGATTTATTTATCCTTAGTGAGCAGGTATAGTGTCACTTATTGATTTATCCAAGCATATACTAACTTAGTGAGTCCAGGTATGTAGAGCCACATATTGATTTATCCAAGCATATACTAACTTAGTGAGATCAGGTATGTAGTGTCATATATTGATTTATCCAAGCATATACTAACTTAGTGAGTCCAGGTATGTAGTGTCACATATTGATTTATCCAAGCACATAATAAGTGAATCCATGTATATAGTCACATAGTAATTTATCCAAGCACATAATAAGTGAATCCATGTATATAGTCACATAGTAATTTATCCAAACACAGACTTGCTTAGTAATCCAGGTATGTAGTCACATATGGGTTTGTCCAAACACATATTTACTTGGTGAATCCCTTTATGTTGTGTTACATAATACTGGCATGTCCAAGCAGATATTAACTTGGGGAATTCACATATGTTGTGTCACATATCATTGTCATGTTCAAGCATATAACTCAGTCAATCCACATATATTGTGTCATATCATTGGCATGTCCAGGCACATATTGGTGAATCTACGAATGTTGCATCTCATAATATTGGCATGTCGGACACCTAATATTGGGATGCCCAAGAACATATTAACTTGGTGAATCTGCATATGTTGTGTCACATAATACTGGCCTGCCAAAGCACGTAATATTGGGATTCCCAAAAACATATTAACTTGGTGAATCTGCGTATGTTGTATCACATAACATTGGCATACCATACCGGAGCACATAATATTGGCATGTATTAACTTGGTGAACCCAGGTATGTTGTTTTACATAATATGGGCATGCCGGAGCACATAATATTGGGATGCCTAAGCACATATTAATTTGGTACGTTGTGTCACATATCACTAATGTGTCCAGACTCACGATAAACAGCTGCTGAAGAGTAAGCCTACATATATATTACATTTGTTGAAAACACAGTTTAAAATGGTGGATGATTATCTCAAGAATAATTTGCCTGACATGTTATTGTTTTTACCCCACTTAATCTCATTTGTCTTTTCTTTTCTTCTTCTTCTTCTTTGTTCACCGGCTGTAAGCTCCAGCAGAAAGTCCTGGATGTTTGTCCATTTGGACTTTGGTTTCATGCCAGGACCTGAGTTTTGCGTGTACATCCCTTTACTGGCTTATCTGTGTGCAGATGGTTGTTCCTTGCTGTTCAGGCAGATGCAGTCCAACTTTGAAGGAAGCTCCCAGTTAGTTGACTCTTATGATATGCTTTTTTTTTGGAGTAGACAGTAGGTCTATTCTTATTTTTCCCACAGTGGGGTCAAGAACCCACCACAAGAAGTCTTTGTTTTCCAGTAAGTCAGAGTGTCTTATTATACTCGTCATTTACAGCATTATATTTAACCTTCATGATTGCCTACAAGTCTGGATGATTTTTGCCCCTTTTTTTTAAAAATCCGTTATTTGCTAAACACTGTCAGTATTGCTGGTTTCCTTAGAGTTGAGTCCCATAGATAGGGAACCCATGGAACTGTAGGGGTAGAAGAGGAGCCGTCATGGTGTAGCGGCTAGATGCTCACCTGCGGATCGGAAGGTCGTGGGTTTGGGTCCTGATGGAGCCTGACTGCTTTCAGAGATGACCTTAGCTCCCAGGTAGACCCAGCATTGAGTGGATGCCAGGTACCGTCCTGGCAATTAGAGGCGGCTGCCGTGATGCTGACGATGTCACGCATCGAGTGCCATTTGGTCTATAAAATGTAGGTCTAACCAGTTGTGCCCAGTATGCCTGAAGGGTCCTTTTATAGGCGGGGAATAGATTAATATAGCACACATAGTTAAAAAATGTAAACCATATACAGAGCAATCAATAAACTCAAGGTACGTTTCCTGGTGCTCAGAGGGTGAATAAAAAAAACTCAAAGTGTGTTCATTTTTTGAGATACATTGTATGTTAATTATCTAAGAGTTTGTGACTTGAAAGTTTTCTTCTTTTACTGACCCTTTTAGACTGGCCAAGAGTATCTCAATACAGATCAAGGAGCGGTTGAATAAATCACACATTGACTTTACCAATGCTCTAAAGCAGCTGGAGACAAGCCACACTGGTAGATTGGATAAAATTGAAGAACATCGCCTCAAGCTGCGCAAAATACATGCACCACAACTTGCTAAGTTGGCATTGGAAAGTACCTCCCTGAAGGATGTCGTTCTTTATGGTGAGTGCACCACATTTAGAGTGTGAAACTGCCTGTGTGGGTTTGGTGGACCCTATTTTGGGGGAAAGTGGTGGGGATTGGGGGTGGGGGGGGGGAATAGACTCATTGTCTCTAACAAGCAAATGGTAAAAGCAGACTGATTACAGGTTTTCTGAAATTGAATGTTGGGCCAAATTGCACAGATATCACAGCCTAGCTGTGAATGGCTAGAATGGCTAGCCACCTGCCTAGAGTGTAGCACAAAGCACAAACACCATAGCTCCGGCAATGATCTTCAGGGGTGTTAAAAAATTGCATACGTGAACCAGAAGAGGAAATGAACCCATGACGTTCAGAGCGCCACACAGATGGCTTGACTGCTCTGCCACGGAGACCCCTAGAGAAGAAGAAGAGTAAGAAACCACAGGTAAGCATGAGAAGGTCACACAGTGTTTAGTGCACTTGCTTGCTGAGGAAGTAGTCCTGGTTCAGTCCCCAGAAGTAAAAGTAAAAAAGTAAAGTTCCCTTTTCACGCCTTTTGGCGCATCGGGCATATGGGCAGAGCGTCCCATATTTTTACAGACCATCAGCACTCTGTGGGTAATGTGGTCAGCATTACGCCGGCTGTCTTTACTTTCCCAGGACAGCCCATCCTGGTACCCATTGTTAATCTCAACGACTACAGCTCTGGGCTTGACCCAGCCTCATAAAAATGAGTGCCAGACAATTTCCAGATCTATCTAGGAATTGTGAATGGAAGAAAGGGGATTAGACAGGGAACAGGCCATTTTACCTCATATCTAATGACCTAGAATGTGTGAATACCTGATACTTCACATCAGTATGGCTTTATCTGTTGTGTGACCGCTGTTACCTTTTTAAATATAAAAAAGTACAAAAAATAAGATAAGTAGTATGTTGCCTATACAGAGGGGAATGAACTGTCACTCTTTGGCCAGTGGTAAATAGATAGAGAACTCTGGAGCAATCATAAAATAATTTCACCAGAGTGGACTGGTATCAAGACATTGGAAAAAAGGGTACATTTTAAGACTTCATGTACAACAGAACATTTGAAAGCTTTGCATGCATTGAGATTCAAACTTGTTGCTTCCAAATGATGACAGAACCCCACTAAATACGTGTTTCCAGTCAAAATGGACGCTAGGTATGATCACTGTTTGGAGCCGTGGCTAATTTTTTTATCTTCTGCCTGACGGTGGCCTTGCATTTTTGCTCCATTTGTAGACTGAAAGGATATAGTTTCGTCGCCTAGCTTCTGAGTTGAGTGTATAGCATGACACTGTGAGCTGCAGATTTCATTTGGAATGTTTTTTTACTGTGACCAACGTGGTGGTGTGAATTTTAGTCACAACATTGGTCCATGATGAACTGCATTTCTAATGTCAGACTGTTTATGTTAGCACTTTGGATGGCTAATGTATGCTTTTAATGCGTGTGAATGCTAGTGCATATCCTAAGACAGCAGTCTGTCAATCTTTCCACAAGGGACTGTGATAAACATTCTGTGTGTTTTTCGTTGGAACAGGAGTGGAGCAACTGTGGGGGTGACCCGTTTGCTATGAAGCTGAAACTAAGATTAGCAGATTACTAGAACCCCACTGATGGAGAAAGATGCATCACCTTGAAATAGGTTTTTGATGTCTCTTCGGCTGAATGGTTAAGGCCATTTATCTCATGAGTGTCTTTGTCCTTTTTTGGGGCTGCAGAGTCTGTGCTTTGTGTGATGCTCTGTGGCCAGATGCTCTGCTGAAAGAGACTAAGCTTTATGGGGTGAAATCCAGTGCAATAAATTTGATGTGGAATAAAGAAAGAAATATGGTATTAAATATATCGTTGTTTCTATAGGGACAAATTCTAGAGGTCACCAACTGACAGCGAGTGAGAAGGTTTATACCTAAATGATTTGTTTTAGAGGCATCATGCATGGCTAACAGATTTTCTAAAAGCTGACACTAAGAAATTACTTGTATTGGACTGTACAGTTAAAGCATAAGACTAATGCAAAACATTGTTCTAATGATAGAAAGCATTAGGATGTTGCAAGTCATCTCCTTCACCTGGTTTTGAACACCTGGGTATGCCGATGTACAAGGCATTGAACAAGGGAAACAGCTGGCAAGTATCGTGCTAATACAAGCAGAAAGAAGCATGGATGCAGCTGATATAATCAATGATTGATAGCCTAGATCAGGGCTGTTCTTCTCTTCTTTTTTCTTCTTTCGTTCGCATGAAATAAATTGTCTATATCTGCAAAGCTGTCTCTAGTATGAATTTCACTGTCTTTTGTAATTCACTAAGCGGCCCGTAAAGTTTGACTTCCACAAGTGTCTCTTTTGGCCAAAGGTTTTGCCTGAAAGCGTTGAATCTGGGACAGTCTTGAAGGATGTGATCTGTTGTTTCAGGTGCCAGTCCACAAGTACACATGGCTGATTGGCCAATCTTAAATTTGTTGTACATGTGGGAGCAAAGTCGATTGTGCCCTGTTCTAAGGCGAAGGATAATAACTTGCTCTGGTCTGTCCATAATATGGTAATCATCTTGTGCCAGTTTCGGTGGCATTCTGATTGATTTGATCATTCTCTTCTTCTGTTGATAAGAGACTGGTATGTTAGGTTGTTCTTCAGTTGCACCTTCCTTAGCTAGTTTATCAGCTTTTTCGTTTCCGGGAACTCCACAGTGGGAAGGTATCCACTGCATTACTAATTTACAGCGGTTGCCTAGTTCGGATAATAGTGTCCGTATGCTTGGTAATTTTCCAGACTGGAGTGACTGAAGTACTGCTTTTGCATCTGTCAGGAATACCACTGGTTGTGAAAAATACCCTGTATTTAGTAGTTTCTCTGCCGCTATCTTGATGGCTTGAACTTCTGCATCATAGTTGTGACAGTGCTTTCCCGTTGGTAATTTGGCTGTATCCCTGGTATTATTAGGATACTCAATGTACACTCCCGCGCCTCCGTTTCTGACTGCGCTTTCTGCTGACCCATCTGTGTAAACACGGACCCAAAGGTTTTGCAGGTATTCATCATCAAGTAGACTGAGGGTGGCTGTTTTGCGCTGCACACTGTTTTGTTCTTCCTTGTCAAATACCCCTTTCACTTCAGTCTTGATGTGTATTGGAAATTTATCCTCCTCTCTCCAGGGGGTCCGTTCTGGGACAGCATTTAAGGATCTATCAGTTGCAGGTAAATCAGTGGTTTGTCTGCCGAGCCGTTTGGCCTGGTGGATAAAACTACTTCTCTTTAGTCGTCCCAAAGCTAAATTTTGGAATCTCTCATTCATAGGGTGGCTGGGCATACTAAGAAACTTTTCTGCTTGTAAAAGCATCTTGGTGTCTCTGCGTTCACTCAGTGCTTGGGTCATCCCCATTTTCTCCATCACAGCTATAGGTGTTGATTTCATACTGCCTGTGGTAACTCTGAGTGCTTGATTTTGCACTTTGTCTAATTCTTGCAAAGTGGTTTTTGATGCCGAACTCCATGCTGTTGATCCATATTCAAGATGTGGTCGAACACTTTGTTGGTAAACTTTTCTAAGTATTTTCCCGCTAGCACCCCATGTGGTTCCACTTAGTTTTCTCAGAATGGCTACCCTCCTTCTGGCTTTGGTTGCTGCCTTGTTGATGTGTTTTCTCCATGTTAATCTATCATCAAACGTTACGCCGAGGTATGTGGGCTCCTTATCCTCTCTCAGGGGTACTCCATTTATGTGCATGACACCTGATTTTTGTTTAGGAGAAAGGGTAAAGAGGGTGGTGCTGCATTTGCCTATGTTGATGCTGACACACCATTTGTTGGCCCAATCAGCCATTGCATCTATGGCTCTTTGTAGCAGCCTGGTGGCCACTGTCGCATTTTCATTTGTACACCAGAGTACCAAGTCATCAGCATACATTGCAGCTTTAATTCCATGGGGTAGTTCAGAAAGCAGGCCATTGATATAGACTAGGAAGAGTGTGGGGGACAGAACACCTCCTTGTGGGACGCCATGGCGCAGCAAAACTTTCTTACTCTTAAATCCATCTATCTGTACTTGGGATCTTCTGTTATACAAGTATGCTTTCACCCATTTGTACATCCTCCCATTCACCCTGCAGTCTCTCAGTTTCTTCAGTAGACCTTCTTTCCAGACCTTGTCAAAGGCTTTCTTCAGATCTATCCATGCCGTTAGCACTAGCTTCTTTTCCTGGAAGGCATCCTCAATTTCTTGTGAAAGGTAAGTTGTCTGGTCTTCTGTGGAGTAGCATTGTCTAAATCCTGCCTGCTGCGGCGTGAAAATGTTTTCACTTTCCAAGTACCATTGGAGTCTAAGGTTGACAGTACGTTCCATTGTTTTACAGAGGCAGCTGGTAAGACTGATCGGTCTATAGCTGGAGGCATCAGAACTGTCCTTTCCTGGTTTAAGCAGAGGTATCATGATTGCTTCTCTCCATATTTGAGGAACTTTGCCACTGGTCCAACAATGATGAAAGATCTGTAGCAGCTTTTTTTTGGCAGTTGTTCCAAGGTTCTTGATCATTTCGTTGGTGATACCATCAATTCCAGGTGATTTTCCCATTCTCAGCTTTGATATTGCTAACTCTAACTCGCTGGATGTAAGTGCTGCCACCAGTGCCTCAGGAATTATATCTTTTTGTCTTATATGTTGTTTGTTTTCTTGAACCTCTCGCTGTTTCTCTGGGCTGACATTAATGTTGCTGTCTTCTGCAAAGGAATCTGCAAAGTGGTCAGCTGCCTGTTTTCTTGTTAGGATGGCTCCCTCTTTGCATAGTGCAATATTACTATTTCTTCCTGTATTCTCATCATTAATTTGCTTAATTAACCTCCACAACTTCCTTGTGTCTCTTTCAAAGTTTAGAGACTTTGTCTTTTCTTGCCAGCTTGCCCGTCTAGCCTGCAGTTTGGCTCTTTGAAATTTGGCCTTTGAATGTTGGTAGTTGTTAAACTGCTCTTGACAAGGTCTGGTCTCAGCTTGTTTTCTTTCTGTTTCCATATTGTTGTGCAGTTGCTCCAGATCACAATTCCAGTACGGTTTGTATTGTTTACGCGCACCTCTTGGAACTGCTTCTAGGGCTGCCTGCAGCATGCGTTTGCTCAACTCTTGGACTACTTTTTCTACGTCGTTATCTGTGTTTAGATTTTCCAGCAGAACATTTGTGCGAAGCTGATACAACTTCCAGTCTGCCTTCTTAAAATTCCACCTTGGCAGTGTGCTGCTCTCTCTTACAGACTGGCTTTCTATAGTTAGAAAGACTGGCCGGTGGTCACTGCCTCCTAGTTGCTTCCCAACAGTTCTGGTAACATTCAGTTCCATGTCTGGTGAGTGAAAGGCTAGGTCTGGTGTCGAGGTGGTATGCCATGCTCTAGAGTAGAAGGTTGGTGGGTCGGTTGGCTTATTAACGAGGATGAACCTATTCTCATCCTGCCAGTCCTCTAGTTTCTCTCCTCTCTGGTCCATATGATCGTATCCCCAACTTTGGGAATGGCTATTAAAATCCCCACAAATGATCATTTTTTCATTTATTAGTACTGTATCCAGTGCCTGAGGGCGGTCGCTCGGACAGTAATAGTTGGTCAGATGTAAATCTGTATTTTCTAACTTGAGCTCAAGTGTTTGATACTCAGCACCTTCCATGTATGTTTCGATCCGGCCCGCAAGGATGTTATTTTTGACCAGGGTAAGAATTCCACCTTTTCTCCTGTCTTTGCGGTCAGATCGGAAACACTGGTAGCCTCTGATCTTAAAGGCCATATCTTGTTTGAGATAAGTCTCTTGTAGGCAGCATACATGTACATTCTCTTCGTTCAAGACGTTTTCTAATTCTAATTTCTTAGTATTTACTCCCTCTGCGTTCCAGTGCATTATTTTAAGGCTAGCTGTATTTTCTGCTTTTCTGGTTCTACGGGGCATTAGGGGGAGGCTTCGAGTATTTGAAGCTGGACTCTTTCTTCTTGTCTTAGGCCGGTAAATCGAACCACGTGTACGTGAGTGGGTGGCATGGTGGAAATCAAACTTATTTGCAGATATAGAAATATTCCCTGTTGCGTTTGTGCGTGGCATCCTGATTGCTGTGGTGCGCCTCCTGGCTGGTTGCCTCCGACTTCAGCACCTTGTTTTGCTAGAGTAGACTGGGGTCTTACCCGTGGACTCTCCCATGTTTATAATGGGAGCGTGGCTCCTACGCGGTTACATTATCGGAATTAGGACACGGCCGCCGCCGTGGCTATTTTGTGGAAATAATTCCGTTATAACACCCCTAAACCACATAATACTTGTATCCACGAACAAGAGAATATCCATCGTCAATGAATTCGTAATAATCGCACTTTGTTATCAAGAGAAAAACACAGATTAAGTGAAAATTTTAGAATAAAATCGAGTGTCGCCGCAAACACGTCTTCACGCTGCCATTTCTAAACCGGAAGTCCGATCAGGGCTGTGAAACTAAGTTTAATGAGGTGACAACATTTTGAAAATAGAGATCATCACGGGCCATAGGCCCAAGTCCCAGCATAGAAAGGTCATTAATAAAGTACATCTGGCAGTAATCTGCTGGACACTTGCTAGGCCTCCGCAGGCGAGATTTGCTCCACAGGCAGCCAGTTGAAAAGCTCTTGTCTAGATGGTGAGCATCAGTGTATTTCTGACGCTAACTTGACTACATGAGCTGCAAGCTGAGCCCAGGAAAGCCCATCTATGCTGTCATCAAGGTCATAGGAGATATTGAACCAGCTTTGTTTGGGAACAGTCAGTAAAGGTACTTTGAGATGGTTGCTGTATGAGAATTTATGGTGTAGGAGGATATTTGTCGTAGTAACGTTACATAATTCTGTAATATAACAAATGTTACAGTTATTTGAATGTTTTGCTTGTGAGACTTCTTAAATTGAAAAACATCTATTTAAAATGCATTACATTATTCCGATGAAATTTCCCATATGAACAGCATCCCCATGATATCTGTGTGTGTGTTAATTTTCAGACATGCCTCAGATTGACAAGGAGATTGGCCGGGGGCAGTATGGCGTTGTCTACTCTTGTGACAGATGGGGCAGCTTTTCGCCATGTGCCATCAAATCAGTGGTGCCACCTGACGATAAACACTGGAATGACTTAGCTCTGGAGTTCTTCTACACAAAGTAAGTTAGCAAATATTGGTCTGTTGGTACAGGGTCCCCCCGTGTGGGTTAAGTTAGCAAATATTGGTCTGTTGGTACAGGGTCCCCCCGTGTGGGTTAAGTTAGCAAATAATGGTCTGTTGGTACAGGGTCTCCCCGTGTGGGTTCCATGACCCCATTTTTGGGAAAAAGAATATACCCCCCCCCCCCCCCCCCACTTCCCCCTCCATCGTAAAAGTCTACTATTAGAGGTATTTTCTTAGAGTTCGGACTGCATCTGCCCGAGAAGCAGGACCGAACAGTCTGCACACAGATTAGCCAGGTCTGTAAAACACTTGTGCATTCAAAACTTAACATCTAGAAAAAGAATAAAGTCCAGAAAGGGATGAATAGCCATAATTTTCTGCCAGAGTTTACAGCTGGTGAACGCTAAGAAGAAGTGATACTAGGTCAAGCTAGTCAATCAGGCACAGCCATTTATTTGGCAAACAATTTAGTTATATACTTCATTTATTGTTACTGATTGTTGTTTTTCATTTATCATTTTGAGACACATTTACTAGATCCTGTTATGATTTTTTTTTTGGTTCTTGTTATGCATCTGTTTTCACTATAGCAATTTTTCCATTTTCTTCTTTCTTCTTCTTTTGTCAAAATCTGCTTGTGCCGCTAGGCGTCGCAGTCTATCAGATGATCGGCAACCGAGCCAGGGCGCGCTCAGTCGCTTCATATGCCGTGATGTTATGAAGTCTCAAGTTGTCCGTGACTCCTTCAATCCATATTCTTTTTGGTCTTCCCCTGCCTCTTGGTGTTTCGATTTTCATGTTGTATGCTCTTGACGCTGGCATCCTTGGTTCCATTCTCATTAGGTGACCAAACCATTTCATTCTTTGCTTCTCAATAAATTTAACGATGGGTATGGTTCTAATAGTTCTTGTAATCACATCGTTTCTCACTCGATCTCTTCTGGTTTTATTCGCAGCCATTCTCAAACATCTCATTTCACGGGTGGTTAGTCTTCTCTGGTGTTCTTTTGTTAATGTCCAAGTCTGACATTGATAACCTAATGTCGGTATAAAGATTGTATTTATAATTTGTCTTTTTATCTCAGCTGGGACAGCAGGGTGTTTTAAAATTGGGGCAAGCTGGTATGCAACATTATTGGCTTGTTGGATTCTTGCTTCGATCTCTCTGTCTATTTTACCATTGAATGTAAAGATACTTCCCAAGTATTTAAATTCTTGCACTTGTTTTAGGCTGTGATCTAGAATCTTTATGTCGATGGTCTGTTGCTCTCTGCTTATGCTCATGACTTCTGTTTTTTCAGTATTGATCTTCATATGATGCTTGAGGCAACTGTCGTGTAGTAGGTTTTTGTGGTCTTGCAGCTGTTTTTTTTTTTTTTTTCCAATTTCAAGATGCATAAATCATGATTTAAGTAAATTTGTATTGGTAATGAATCAGTACTGTTGTGTAGAGCAGAAACCTGAAGAATGACTTTAAAAGATTTACTAATAAATCACATACATTATTTTTACTGGTTCCTGAGGGATTCTTTGATATTAGATAATCACTAGTGCATGGCTTGTGGAGAAAACCTGACAAATTCCAGTGAATAAAGAGATAAATTAGAGTAATTGGAACTGGGTAGAAAACACTGAGAAAACCTGATAATTTAATTTGAATGTCCTTGTATTGGAACTAACAGAGTAAAAGAAATAAAGAGACACTAGAGAGAACACACAGAGAAGACAGAGATTAGGATGAAACAGTTGTGGGAGGACATGTGGTGATTGTATGAGATGGCATAGGGAAAGACAACTAGTGCTAGTTGGTTGAGGTAACAGGATAACAAATTAGAAAAAGTACAAGCATGCTGTGCTGTTTAAAACATTAGTTTTCTGCACTTTTTTCTTTTAGACTCAGCTTTTCCTCATTTAACTGACCAGTGGTCTTGCTGGAGTTATCATTATACATTAAAACCTCATTACCACAAATTTTCAGAAAGAGACATTTGGTTAACATGAATGAAAATTAGATTGTGCAGGGATGTAATATTGCTATTAATGCTCGGTTAGCACAATTTTTGTGTGTTTTTGTACAAACTCGATTTTCTTTCCCATAGAATTCCCATTTAGCATATTTTTGCTGCATTACATTTTTACTTGCGATCTTTCCATATATTCTTTTGTATAAATCTTCCTTGGGTTTCTTTTAATTTCCATCAGATGTAAAATTTCCTGTGTCATCCATTTTTCTTCGCTGTCTTCTTCATTTCTGGTAATTTTTTTTTTTTTTCTGATGTCTCATCTTGATGTATGGAAATCAACCATGGACAGTTGGTAGATTAGTGAAAAATTATTTGGAAGCTGCAGAGATATGGTTTTATGGACAAAGAATGAGAATATACTTGACAGATAAAAAAAGAGCAATGAAGACGTCTTGAAAGAAACTGACTCTTGAAGAGAACTGATTGTTAACATCAGAAAGAGACAATCTACATTCTTTTATCATGTGATGAGAAGGAGAAAACTGGAGAACACTGTGATAGTAGGAAAGTTGAAGGGAAGGAGAAGCAGAGGGAGACCGAGTGAAAAGATGCTGGACAGTTTGACATTATTGCATGGAGGATCATCTGTGTCAGAGTTTATTTAAAATACATGAGACATGAAACATGTCTACCAATGCCACAGGGCATGGACTTTAAGAAGAAGAAGAAAAAGAATCATATTAATGAGGGTTTAATTCAGTCCAAAGCAATGCGTCAGGTTTTATCGGGTATTGTCCAAGTGTACCAAACAAGGAATGGCGTGTCTGGCTTTTAGCCTTATCCTACTGTAGATATCTGGCTAGTTGTTCAAAAACCGAGTTTTGTATGTTTGCTGCATCTGTGACAGGTAGGGTCTCACACTTTGTTTATGTTCATTCTGATTACTGATACCTTGGGAAGGGCCAGCTAAATATACAGGTACTCAGAGTACTTAATTTTTATAGGTAATCTTACAAAATTGTGCCAGGTTATCACAGCTCTGTTCTCCCTTCTAATATAGGCATATTCCAGACCACGATCGTATTGTGATGTTGCGTGGATCTGTGATAGACTACATGTATGGAGGAGGCACATCACCGGCTGTGCTGTTGGTCATGGACAGGCTACAGATGGATTTGCATACAGCCATTAGACAAAACCTGGATTGGATTAGCAGGTCAGTATCAGGGCCAGATTCTGCAAGTATTTTGCATTTTGCCCCTCTGGAAGTAATATACCCATGAGTTTAGTATTACCATTGTCCCTCGAAGTGGGAGTACATCTGCCCCTGAGGCAGGGAATGGCAAAAGCCAGTAAAACGGTTGTACACGCAAAACTCAGGTCCAGGTAAAAGCCAAAAGTTCAAACGGATGATTAACTGGGACCTTCCACCGGAATTCACAGCCGATGAACGAAGAAGAAGAAAAAGAAGAAGTATTACCATTCATAACTCCTTCAAACATGAGCTAGGACCTCATGAGGCTGAAAGAGTTAATGAAAACATGGACTTAGTAAAAAAAAAAAAGGGGGGAGGAGGAGTGCTAGTTTAAGGTTGTGCGGGGGGGGGGGGGGGGGAGTGCTAGTTTAAGGTTGTGCGAGCTTTCACCTTTAACTCCTTCAATGCCAGTGAACTTGAATACTCCTAGCATGATGTAGCTTTTCGTCCCAGGTGTAATCTGTCCATTTGCTTCATTCAACAACCTTATTCCAGTTGTTATTTTAACTGCTACTGTCCCATAATGTTACAGCTGAAACTTATTACTTTTTTAGCTTCTTTACACTTATAAATGAGGGGACTCCAAATGAAAATGAAAACTTAAAAAGTGTAATAGCAGTTACAATAAGTATGCTGTTGTCTTGTGACCGATCAGTATTGTTTTTAAGGATGTGAAGAGTGTTAAGCACGTGATGTCACAGTGCAGATGACTATAATGATCTCATAATGACAGGTTAAAGATGACCATCCCAACTTCTAACATGAACCAAAAAGGAGCAATATGTTGTTACCCATTTTTAAATTTTTTATTTAGTGAACAGGTAAAACCTATAGAAATTCATAATTAACAACAATATTGATAGTTTTCAAGAGAGTGGCATCATATTTGGTAATGTCAAAGAACTGCATGTGATAAAAAGAACTAAAGTAACACTGTGTGTGACTGAAAAATAGTTAATTAATTAAGATGGCATAAAATCCATGCTATTTTCACTCTTGCTGACACAGTTGCAACATGTACTTATGATTTATGTGGGTTGACAGCATAAATAAGACTGAACATGTAGTCTTCTTCTTCTTCTGTCCACTGACAAGTTCTGGTTTTCGTCTACCTTTGTGTCCCAGTCTTGTTCCAGAACCTGACTGTTCTGTGCACCTGCATTTCACAGGACCGGCTTATTTGTATGCAGACTGCTAGTTACTTGCCTCTCAGGCAGATACAGTTCGACTTTAAAGGAAGCCCCCAGTTAGTTAATTCTTATGACATGCTTGTTGGAGGGGGGAGGGGGGCGGCGCAGTAAGTCTGTTATTTTCTCCCCATAGTGTGGCCCTAAAACCCACATGAGGGGGAAATTTAGTGACCAATGGCAGGTTTAGTAGGAACAGAGCGAATAGAAGAGGACAAGATAAATTCTTGGACAGCTTGGCCACATAATATGTCATGAAGAATCAGTGATTATGTGAAACTATGAACCTTGATCGTCCTTGCTTATAAGCATGGCACATGATGAGGATGTGACAGCATGGGTGGAGGAACAGGCTAAACAGGAATAAGCTCATCTTGAAGACTGATAAATACTTATTACAGCAGACTGTTCATGTGAAGATGGTCAGTCAGTCAGTCAGTCAGTCAGTAGCCTGTCCTTTGCAGAATCTTGCTTCCATAACAGCCCTCCAGAAAACTTGATCACAAGCAAGATGTCTGATGCACCCATCTGCAGATCATCCGCCACATCCTGCACCCATCTTCTCTTTGGCCTTCCTCTTCCTCTCTAACCTTAACCCCTCCATTATTGTTCTTTCTAAACTTTTGTTATGTTTAAAGAGACCAAAATATTTCAATTTTATGTATTTTATCCACTTTAATAGCCAACCTTCTACAGTATTCAGTTCTTGAATGGGTACCAGGTAAATTCCTGGGAAGTATAGATGGCTGGCATGATGTTGACAACATCACCCACAGAGTGCAGACTGGTCTATAAAATGTAAATCTAGCCTAGTATACCCAATATGCGTGTAAATCTAGCACTTTAATAGCCAACCTTCTACAGTATTCAGTTCTTGAAGTAGGAATGCATTTGTTCTTTTCTTTACCCATGATATTCTTAGAACGTGTCTATAATATTTGTATTCAAAGACATTTATGTGTTGTTCAGCAAGTTTAGTATGTGTCCAGGTCTCACAGGCGTATGTTGCAATGAGAAAGATGCATGCTCTTAAAAATCTAATTTTTGTAGTTCTGTCTATCTAACTGGAGATGTCACCTGATGATGATGAATCATTTTTTTAAATTGAAAACGTTTTTCAGTTGTGAATTAAAAAAAATGGTTTTAAACAGTATATTTCACAATTTATTGCCTGGTAAATTTTACTGTATTTTGTCAGTTGCATCCTACATAAGACATCAGCATGTAAGAAAGCGCAGAAATGAATCCTTTCAACTGAAATTTACTATTCACGTAATCTGTTTTACGTCTCCCTAGAATAGTTTTCGATTAACCATGTAACGAGTTTGTTTACATAATGCAGGATTTCCCATCCTAATTCTGACCATTTCCCAAAATTTCCAAAGGCGCTTGTTAACATTGAAGGCATAACTCCTATCTGTCATGTTCCCAGAGTCTAGTAGATGATGTGCTGGGAAAGAATGTTGCTGTTTTCCTCTTGATTGCTCCTAACTTTTTGTTTATAAAGATTTTTTTTAAAGTCAATGTGTTTTTGTTTTCAACAGATTTTGTGTGTGTTTTAAATAAATTTATGAACAAAATCTCACTGAAGCAATTCTCTGAGCAGGTTACAAGTGGCGATTGATGTGGTGGAAGGTCTGCGTTATTTACACAGTCAAGGGCTGGTTCACAGGGATGTCAAGTTAAAAAATGTCCTGGTGAGTGCCCCTGCAGCTTCCTGCAGTGTTTGTTATGTTATTGACTGATTGTTATTTCCACCTCCAAACAGCTGCCTAAAAGTTGAAATAACCCCGCAACCTGAAAGTCATATTCTGGATGCCAGCCCAACAGGAAAAATCCCAGACAACCCTGTTCAACCTCTAACAAATTATACTTGGGGTATTTGTAATGGCTACACTAGTAATTACTCTAAAGTACACTGTGTTCCAAGGTGGATGAAGGTCTCAGGTAAAGGTCAGAGTTAAAGGTTGCAGGGAAAAGTCACATATAAAAATCATGGGTAAAAGTCTCTAATGTTGGTGATTGTCGAATCAACTGTAAATTAAATGAGTGTAGGTAATTTTGTTTGTGTGCAGAAAATAACTTGGTGAGCGTCCCTACAATTTCTTGCAGTGTGTATTATGTTATTGACCTTAGTGGGAAATGTAAATTAAATAAGTCCAATTAATTATCTTCGGCGTCCGTGGCTAAGGCGTTGCGAGTTCGACTCGTAAGCCAGCATACCGCGATCGAAACCCACTGCAGGCTGTGTGGACTTTTGTCATTGTATGGGACGTCGCAGGTCAACCCAGCCTAAAATGGGTACCAGTATGGGCTGTCCTGAGAAAGTAAAGACAGCCGGCGTAATGCTGACCACATTACCCACTGAGTGCTGATGGTCTGTAAAAATATGGGACGCTCTGCCCATATGCCTGATGCGCTGAAAGGCGTGAAAAGGGATCTTTACTTTTCTTTTACTAATTACTTATCTGTGCGGAAAGACACAAATTTTCTTTGCATACATGCTCATCATAGGTTGCACTTATTTCATTCTTTAAGTTAAGCACTACTTTTGGAATGGCCTATAGTATGCAGCTTCAGACATCAGAAATGAGATATCTGAGAAGGGTGGTCTAAGTGACAAGAAGTGGCAAAGTTTGCAGTCAGACAGTAAGTCATGATCTTGAAACCTGACCTTACAAACTCAAAAGTGGATCAGTCACAGTCACCATGATTGGGACATGTGAGCAGAATGAGAGAGAATTGGTCACCACGACAGGCATGAGAGAGCAAACACCAGGGAACCAGACTTCCAAGACGATTGAGCCTGCACTGAGAAGATACCATCCGACAGTCCCTGACTGAAACAGGATTAGAACTGAACAAAGCTATAAGGAAAACTGGTGATACAGAAGTCTTGTGACCTGTCTGGCAAACCTGTACACCCCAAGGTAAGAAAACAGTTGTCTAAGTCAGTAAGTTATCTTTGAGGTAGTGCTGTATACAGTTATGTAATCTTTCCAGATTAGATTTCACAATTGGATGATGAAAGTATTTTCCGGTATTCCCCTGTATTCCAGCTGGATAAGGACAATAGGGGAAAGGTCACAGACCTGGGATTCTGCAAGCCTGAAGTGATGATGAGCGGCAGTATTGTGGGCACACCTATACACATGGCTCCGGAGCTCTTTACTGGCCACTATGACAACAGCGTGGATGTATATGCCTTCGGTATTCTTTTCTGGTATGTCTGCGCTGGCCATGTCCACCTCCCAAGGGCATTTGAACAGTGTGCAAACAAAGATCATCTTTGGCAGTCAGTGAAAAAAGGTAACAGTTTGTCTGAACTCATTGACTTTTTCTTCTTCTTCTTCTTTTTTTCTTCTCTAGTCGTTTATTCTCTAGTCCTATATTGCCTTTTCAGTGTCAGGTTTTTAAGAGGTATTGGATGAGAGCCTAGGTATTTTGTTGCGTAGGCGTTCTTATTTATGGCCTCAGCTGTTCCATCTATCCATAGCTTGAGTGGTCGACCTCTAGTTCTGTTTCCATTATGTCTGTGTAGCAAGGCTCTTTGTGGTGCACTGTCTAGTGGTAGTCTCGACACGTGTACAAACCATTTGATGTGTTGTATCTTAATGTAATTTAATACTGGTTCCGTCCCAACTTCTTTCCTGATATCGTCATTTCTGATCCAGTTTCTTCTACCTTTATTTGGGAGTCACTGTAGACATTTTATTTTTATTGTTTTTCTTTAGTCCTTTGTTGTCAAAGTCCACGTTTGGTGCTGATAATACAGTGTTGGTAACAATACTGTATTGAATAGTGCTCTTTTGGTGTCATTTGTTGCATGTTCATTCTGCAGAATTGGTGACATTTACTCTTGACTGTCTACACAAACTCTGCTTTATTTCAGGCACAGTGAAATAAACTAAATACATGTCGGAAAAATGATATTTCTGGTTTTAAATTTAAAATAGTCTTAACAACAAAATGACATAAGCACAACAATAATTTCTGTAATAGGAAAAAACAACTTTCTGGTCAAATGAATCATTATTTTCTGATCAACTTATAAGGCAAGATCATGTTTTTAATATTTACTTTGTGATCAAAATATATTAGATTACAATTTTTTTGGGATCTGTAAGTTTGGCAGTAGGCCCAGAATAAGCAGTCATCTAAATACTTGCCTAACTTCATCATCATCATCACTTTGAAGTTCCTTTTATTTGTCATAAGTGTTGCAACTGATTCCTATATTCCATTCTGTCCTGTTCAGTTTTTATGATATAATGTATGAAAACTAGTCTGGCATCTCTGGCTCTTCAATTTTCAGTGTACTCTTGATGTTCTTGCCTGCTGGATCCCATTTCACTACCTGTTTTGTGATTTCTTTGCTTTGTGTGGGGAGTGTGTGCATGCAGTAGCGCGCGCATGCTCTTTTTTTCTACTTCTTTATGCCCACTATATTATCCTCTTTTTGTCCAGAAATTTATCTGATTACTTCACCTTTTGTGTGTGAATGTGAATCTGTGACATGTTTCTAAGCACACTAAAAAAGAGCAACAACAGTCAGTGCACTACTTAGATATCATTGTCAGATTGTTTACATAAATATTTTAGTGACTTTTATTTTTAGTTTACCTTCACTGTACAGTTTTTGTTTGTTTTTTGTTGAAGGTCTAAGACCAGAGCAGCCGGAGAATGTGTCAGAAGATTGCTGGAAGTTAATGCAGGGCTGTTGGGAAGGGGAGCCACATCAACGGCCATTGTTTGGAGAAGTTGAGAACACATTGAAAGTTATTTATGAGAAAGATAAGCGAAAAGCCGAAATGGCTGCAGAAAGGAGGCGAGTATCTAGTGACCAAAGTAACAGATTGACACGCCGCTCCTCAAAGCCATTACAAATCAGAAGATAACAGTATCCGTCTGATTCAGTTCAGCCATATTAGTTTGGCAGAAGTTACTAAGAAAGATAGCCTACTCCTGAAGAATTACTTTGCATGTAAGGAACTACAAGTCTTTCATTAAAAGTGGACTAGAGTTTAACTTGAAGATTTTTAATGTAGAACAATGTAGTTTTATAGGAGAATGATGAGATTGCCATGGATAGTTAAAATGCATAATGAAGATATTTTAAAGGACCTTAACTCACAGAATAGCTGCATCAGGAAAAGACAATCCACCATTTTGAGGGCACTTTATGAAAATGAGAAAGCTGGAGTATGTCATGACAATGGGAAAACAAAGTCGGAGAAAATGTCGGTCAGTTTGATATTGTGGCATATAAGAATATCTGTATTATAGAGAATAAATCCAGAGAAAATGTTTGTCATTCCAGCATTACGGCATTTAAGAATATCTGTATCAGAGAGAATAAAGCCGGAGAAAATGTTGTCATTTCATTATTGTGGCATGGAAGAATACCTGCATCAAAGAATAAAACCAGAGAAAATGTTGTAATTTCATTATTGTGGCATGGATGAATATCTGCATCAAAGAATAAAACCAGAGAAAATGTTGTCATTTCATTATTGTGGCATGGATGAATATCTGTATCAAAGAGTAAAACCAGAGAAAATGTTGGTCATTTTAAAATTGTAGCATGGATGAATATCTGTATCAGAAATAATTGACCACAACAGAAGGCAGGGGACAGACATGATTACCGACCCCTCACTGCACGGAGTATAAAAAGGAAAAGAATCTGCAATGATATAAACCTCTATGATTGGGTAGATTCTATGTGAGTGTTAAATCATGTCTGCAGTTAATATTGTTTATTTCTTTGTGGACTCAGGGCCTCATTTTGAAGAAAAACTAACAAACCCACTTCCACCTAACAATCGTGCCACACGAGGCGACTGATAAGGGATGTTTCCTTCAAAGTCAGAGGACGTCTGCATGAGAGGCAAAGAACCAACAGTCTGCATACAAATAAGTCAGATCTGGGAAACGGATGTGCATGCAAAACTCAAGTTCTAGAACAGGATTAAAGTTCAGAAGTGGGTAAAGAACCAGAACTTTCTGCAGGAGTTTACATCCAGTGAATGCTAAGATTCTAGATTACCACAAATGACAGACTTAGAAGATGTAAAATCAGAAAACGAAGATGGAGATGGATTGGACACATTACTCAGAATGAAGAAAGAGAGATGGCAGAGACAGGCAATGCAATTGACACCATGAGGACAGCAAGGAAGAGACTTGGATGCGAACCTTTGAGGCTGAACTCAAGGCTACGCGAAAAACAAAACTGGAGATAGGATGGCTCAGGATCGAATTGAGTGGCGATAGTTTGTCTCTGCCTTATGTGCCTCTGGGCACGATCACAATTGATTGATTAAATGCTAGGAAAGAAAGTATTGCTTACACCTCCTACTATTTGATGCTTGATCAGATAAAATGAAAACCAATATTTCAGCCCACTGCTGTGCAGTATATTTGTTCTCTGGCATCACATCTACCATCAGAATTCTGACAAGGTGCAATCAAATATTAGAAGTGTACATAAAATAACATTAAAGTCCATATTAATATAAATGTTTTGAAAGGATTTCAGATGAGAAATCGTAAGGTGCAATTTAAAAAGTTTTAAGCATTATGTACATTGTCTTTTGTTTTTATAAGTAAAAACCATAGATGTAACCCATCTTATGCTTCCAGCTAAGTGCCTGAGTGATATTCTTTACCTAATGAAAACATTGTCTTGCATACTTCTTTTTTTTTATAAAAACAAATTTTGGTGACTTGTTTTCAGTTCACAACCTATAAAAACTTGCTGCTGATTTTATTACAAAAGAACATAATATTTTCCCCACATGCTGTTTCTGTGTTTTTTAATCACTTTTCTTTTGACAAAGTCCATAACGAATATTGGCCCATACATAGCATTGGTACATAATCAGTAATGTAAAAAAGGTTTATTGTTTTGTACCTGTATCAACTAACACCCGACTTGTGTCAAGAAATTAACACATCTTCACTAAGTATGATCATAAATACCAGACTCGTGACTTTTTCCTTTGTCCATTTTCTTCTTTTGTGCTGCTAGGCATTGCAGGTTAACAGACGATCAGTTTCCGAGCTAGGTCACATGTTGATGTTGTGGAGTCTCAAGGTATCACTGACTCCTTTAATCCATCTTCTTGGTTGTGCCCTACAGTTTTGTATTTCTACTTTCATGTTGTATGCTGTCGTTGCTGGCTTAATTTGATTCATTCTCATTAAATAGCCAAATCATTTCAATATTTATTTTTCAATTAATTTAATTGTAGGCGTTGTTCCAATAGTTGTAGTAATTTTTCGTTCCTCAAATGATCTCTTCTTGTTTTGTTTATGGCCTTTCTCAAACATCTATTTCGCAAATGGTTAGTTTTCTTTCGTGTTTCTTTAGTCAATGCCCAAGTCTGACAGCACAACGTTGATATGAAGATTGCATTTATAATTTGTCCTTTTATCTCTATTGAGATAGCCGAGTGTTTCAAAATTAGGGTCAGTTGATACATGATATTGTTGGCTAGTTAGATTCTTGATTTAATCTCCCTGTCTGTTCTGCCATCAAATGTAAAGATGCTTCTGAAGTGACATGACTACATCCATGAAATTTCACAACTGCTTGATGTGACATTAAAATACCAGGCGTACAGCTAGGTTTAGCACATCTTTATTACTACTTGATCAGACTTGTGTCTAGATTCCACACACCTTCACTACTACTTGATCAGACTTGTGTCTAGATTCCACACACCTTCACTACTACTTGATCAGACTTGTGTCTAGATTCCACACACCTTCACCACTACTTGATCAGACTTGTGTCTAGATTCAACACCTTTACTACTACTTGGTCAGACTTGCGTCTAGATTCCACCCACCTTCACCACTACTTGATCAGACTTGTGTCTAGATTCAACACCTTTACTACTACTTGATCAGACTTGCGTCTAGATTCCACCCACCTTCACCACTACTTGATCAGACTTGTGTCTAGATTCCACACACCTTCACCACTACTTGATCAGACTTGTGTCTAGATTCCACCCACCTTCACCACTACTTGATCAGACTTGTGTCTAGATTCCACACACCTTCACCACTACTTGATCAGACTTGTGTCTAGATTCCACCCACCTTCACCACTACTTGATCAGACTTGTGTCTAGATTCCACACACCTTCACTACTACTTGATCAGACTTGTGTCTAGATTCAACACCTTTACTACTACTTGATTAGACTTGCGTCTAGATTCCACCCACCTTCACCACTACTTGATCAGACTTATATCTAGATTTCACACACCTTCACTATTACTTGATCAGACTTGTGTGTGGATTGCACACACACCTTCACTACTATGTGATCAGACTCATGTCTAGATTCAACACCTTTACTACTACTTGATCAGACTTGCGTCTAGATTCCACCCACCTTCACCACTACTTGATCAGACTTATATCTAGATTTCACACACCTTCACTATTACTTGATCAGACTTGTGTCTAGATTCCACACACCTTCACCACTACTTGATCAGACTTGTGTCTAGATTCCACACACCTTCACCACTACTTGATCAGACTTGTGTCTAGATTCCACCCACCTTCACCACTACTTGATCAGACTTGTGTCTAGATTCCACACACCTTCACTACTACTTGATCAGACTTGTGTCTAGATTCAACACCTTTACTACTACTTGATCAGACTTGCGTCTAGATTCCACCCACCTTCACCACTACTTGATCAGACTTATATCTAGATTTCACACACCTTCACTATTACTTGATCAGACTTGTGTGTGGATTGCACACACACCTTCACTACTATGTGATCAGACTCATGTCTAGATTCAGTACATCTTTTCTACTGCTTGATCAGACAACACAAAATTAAGTTTGTATGTTAAGGACACCTTCATTACTACTTGATCAGACAAATGTCTAGATTCCACACCCTTTACTACTAGTTGATCAGACAATGCCAGATATATGTCTAGATTCTGAACATCTTCCTGCTACTTGATCAAGGCTTTTATCTAGATGTGGGCGATCTTTATTATTAGATTAGATAACATGGCTAATGTTTAGATTTTACAAAATTCACCAGTACTTGATGAAACAAAACCAGACTTATGACCGTACTTGACCTGCTGGATATCTTTACTGCTAAGTGATCCACTTTTATAATTATCGCAAGGTATATCTGCCTAGTTATTTTGTTATTCTTCCACTATTTCTAACATTCCATCAGCCTTCTTCCACTGTTTGTAACATTCTATCACCCTACTTTCACTGTTTGTAACATTCTGCCATCCTTCTTCACTGTTTGTAACATTCTGTCTCCCTGCTTTCACTGTTTGTAACATTCTGTCACCCTGCTTTCACTGTTTATAACATTCTGTCACCCTACTTTCACTGTTTGTAACATTTTGTCACCCTGCTTTCACTGTTTGTAACATTCTGTCACCCTGCTTTCACTGTTTGTAACATTCTGTCACCCTACTTTCACTGTTTGTAACATTCTGCCACCCTACTTTCACTGTTTGTAACATTCTGCCATCCTTCTTTCACTTTTTGTAACATTCTGTCATCCTTCCACTGTTTGTAACATTCTGCCATCCTTTTTTCACTGTTTGTAACATTCCATCAGCTTAGCTGTAAACCACAACAAAATATGCCAGCTGCCCCATTTAAGGATAAATGCAGAAGAAGTAACATTCCTAATAATGAAGGTTCCAATCAATTCTGAATGAGTTTGTGTGCATGAGTGTACGTCTGATTGTCTTTATGTGTGCTGGTGTTATGTATGTGGATAAATGAGTATGTGGATGTTTATGTGAATGTGTATCTGTGTATGCATCCATGCATCCAAGTGCGTGTGTGTGGATGCACAAATGTGTATGGATATGTACTTGT